AACAAATATGATACTCGTGTTTATGGTGCATGTTACTTTGGAACAGATCTTCATGGATATCACGGTTCTGAGGTGTCTTGGCGGGGTATAGGGCAAGAGAATCGTAATATGCCGTGCCAGTTGGCGTCGCGTGCGATGCGCCCGCTAATGAAGACGATTTTCAGGTGATATTGGTCGAGAATAGACAATGTATGACCAAAAATAGACATAAGTGTCACCATGTCCTTGTCTACATGAAATCCGATGCTCCAATCGAAAGGGTAGTGCAAATCAAGGAACGTCGCGCCCATTGCCGCGCGCGACGAAGCGGCAATTTACGATTCTCTTGCCCGTCTCCCGTCTTGGCGCCCGGTTACGGTGTAGATGTACAGGGTGCGTAACCAGCTCAGGTTACAAAACTCTGCCAGATTAACCCCTACGAAAAATTGAGCTCAAAATGCGGCTTGAAATTTGACTAGCGGGGCAGTAAAGAGTAGAATGGGTGGCAATAGTAATTCGTGGCATTTCCCGCCTTCTGGTTAAGCCCGTGGCGCACGGAGTAGAGCAAGAAGTGTGAAGTATTACTCAGTGCTACCGAATTGTCATTACCTAGCGTCGTACCGTAAATGAAATCCGTGATAGAGTTACGCTTACCGCCAGCTCTCCTCCTGGTTCCATGAAACACTTCGTTCCACAAAATTGCTGGCACTTCCACCGAGATTACTAGCATTCAACACCATTAAGGAACCAGCCGGCATTGTAGATGGAGTGCGACCTTAACGGAAAACCTCATTAGTCCAGCGAAACTTTACCATGCTCCGCGTAATAGCTGTTTTAGGACTAAACCATTTTTAGGCTCCCATAAAAATTGTTTCATTATAGTGTAGTAAGTTGTGAGTTCTCATGACGTGCCGACCCTGTCACCGTCCTAGAAAGGAGGGGAGCACCAGTGAGAAAGGCCCACAGGCCTGACTCCTCTCACATGGGGACTGTGAAGGCTCTGGATCACACAAGAACTACGACTAGAATCAATATAACGTCGATAGTTTCGTATTCAAAACAGGTAGGATTTGCGTGCGGCCAGGGAAAAAGTATTCTGGCATCTCGAGAACAGAGAACAAAACCGACTCAAAAGAAGGTTCGAAACCAAAACGTGTTGCAATTATTTTTGATTTCTCCTATTTGAAATCAGGTTCGGTTTTTCGCCTCTTGTAAGTTCCAGAAGACACGCTCACAGAAAGTTCAGAAAGCAAAAATGGAGAGCGGAGGCGTGCATTACTACCGGTCTCCCGCCACGTGATATTCCCCGCTCAGCACTCACTCGATGAGAAAAGCCCTTCCATTTTAGGGGCTTCCAGCTCAGAAAATTCTTCAGAATTGTATTGTAACGCACCATCTTGATTCTGGATCATCTGCATCAGTAATCGTTCAAGATTCTGGAGACGTGAGTTGATCTGATCAACCGTGCCCAGCCGATCGTGAATCACCTCGAATTTTGATCGCATCTCTGATCGAACGTTATTCAACGACGTCCATTCCTGAACAGCTAATTCAGTCAAACCTTTTTTAATTATTCATTGTGATTTTTTCGGACTCTTCTACTCTTTTCACCACATCCCTAATCGGAAAATACAACTCATACCCCGGAGATGAGGAGGGCTGCGTACTTCAGACCACGGAGATAGGGAGTGGCTGCATAATTCGGTTGGGCACGGCGTAGGATGCGTTTTTAGGGGGTCTTTCAATTTCAGTCATACAGTTGCTTTTTAACAAACAACCTTTTGACAGCAATCCTACAAAATGGAATACGCAGCCACGCCCTCTACATTTTCGGGATACGGAGTGAACGAGGAATTGAAGCCCTTCTACTGCGCAGATCTCAGGCATAGAAGCTCCATTATCATTACCTGTGACCTATTTGAATGGATCGGATTTATTAATACCTAGTTCACAGAGCTGCTTGCAGCCGGGATACTACCTTTTGAGACGCAAGAAGCCTTTCTACCAGTTAAAAGAGATCCGCGTTGTGAAGGAACGACGAAAGCGGCACTGCAGGGTGGTGTCGTTCACGCGGCATTCGCACCAGGGTCTGAATGATTTGACGCGAAAATGTTCAGTAAAGCGAAAAAATTGGCTAAGGTAAGAAGTGGGGCGCGCCACGCTGATTTATGCTTGTCACCGCAGCGCGGATCCCCTATCATGTATATTGAGAAGGTACCATGAAAATTCAAACCACCGGCTCTTGTAAGAGGCAAGGCTTCTCCAATTTCGGAAGATGACTTTGGTCAGCCCACCCTAGCTCTCGAGGTCCAAATTGCGGAA